GAAGCCACCCAGAGTGGCTGGGGAAGCCCAGGCAGACGGGCGGAGTATAAATAATAAATTATTATTATTGTTATTATTATTATTGCTTTGGGACCAGAGTCCTGCATTGCCAGCAAGAGCTGTCCAGTAGGTCAGGAGCCCAAATTGTTGAAGCATGTTGCATCAGCAGCTGCTGTGTACCAGTGGAACGGTTTTAGATCTTGTCCTGGAAGGTGAGCAGGCTAATGTTTGGATTTGGGTTCTTCCACCTGAGTAGGGCCCAGGGATGGGAGGCCTTGTGCTGTCAAATGGGCACTGACATTAGAACATAATACAAGTCTGCTGGATAAGACCAATGGCCCATCCAGTATCCTGGTCTCACAGTAGCCAACCAGATGTGTGTGGGAAACCCGCAAGCAGGATTTGAGAACAAGAGCCTTCTCCCCTCGTGTGGTTTCCAGCGTTAGGTATTCAAAAGCACTGCTCCCTCCAGCTGTGGAGGTAGATCATAGCCACTGTGGTTAGTAGCCATTGAGATCCCTCTCCCCCTCCATGAATTTGTCTAACTGTCTTTTAAAGTCCCTTCTGTTCTGGGTTTCCACTTTGATCCATCACTTCCTCTGTTCACAAGCACTTTCTCTTTAAATTGCATATTCCAGGACAAGTCTTTATCTACACTAAAGCAAAAAACAACAATACAGCTTTCAGAGACTGATGCGGGTGGTGCTGTGGTCTAAACCACTGAACTTCTTGGGCTTGCTGATCAGAAGGTCGGCGGTTCGAATCCCCGCAACCGAGTGAGCTCCCATTGCTCTGTCCCTGCTCCTGCCAACCTAGCAGTTCGAAAGCACGCCAGTGCAAGTAGATAAATAGGTACGACTGCAGCGGGAAGGTAAACGGCATTTCCATGCGCTGCTCTGGTTTCCATCACAGTGTTTGTTGCACCAGAAGCGGTTTTGTCATGCTGGCCACATAACCCGGAAAAGCTGTCTGTGGACAAACACCAGCTCCCATGGTGAGATGAGCGCTGTAACCTTATAGTCACCTTTGACTGGACTTAATCGTCCAGGGGTCCTTTTCCTTTTTTTACATTTTGCAAATTGAAAAATTGAAAACTTTCCCTGTTCATGGGGTCCTGGGGATGGTCTCAAAGGGTCTTGGGATCCTGTTCTGATCCTGTGCCCAACTCACTGGGGAAATGGGCTATAACAACAGCACTTACTGAGAAGGCCGGGTCAAGTCCAGGAAAGGCAGGGAAATGCAAGTAAAGCCAGGGTCTGCCTCAGAGGAGGCAGAAGTGGTCAGGACCTTGGACAGAGCCCTGTGAGAAAGCTGGCTGCAGTACTCTCAGCAATAGCTGGGGAGATTTGCAAGGTGCAAAGGCCTTCTGAAGATGGACTAGCCCAGCCCACCTGTTTGCTCCACCGCCTCTGAGAAGTTGTTTCTGCCCTCAAGAGCTACTGCTGTGTCCTGCAGCTGTGTGTGGGGATGACAGGGACTGCCCTGGGACTCAGAGTGTGTGTGTGGGGGAACGGTGTTTCTTCAAAAGGTCCTTGCCTCCCCACTCATGTCCTCCTCTGTTTTCGAGTTTGGGTTGAGGTGTGTGGGGGTACAACACTGCAAAGTGAGACCATCGAGGGTGTGTCAGGACCTTTAATCTGCAGCCACACCAAGAAGATCTGGGTGGTCATATCACAAGGTAATTGTGCTGGGCCCAGGGGTAACCCATGAAACGAGGTCCAGGACCGGTCCAGAATCCGAAGGTTCCGCTAGGAGTCAGTCCAAAAGGGCCAAGGCAGGACACGAGGCAGGAAACCAAGCAAGGACAGGTACAGGATCTAGCATACAGCAATGTTGCTCCCACAACCTGGGGCAGGGTCCAACAGCCTTTTATCTTTGTTGGGGTAACGGCCGGTCCTGATCCCCCGGCCACTCACCTCCCTGTTTCACCCAAAGGTGAGCACTCCTCCTGCGAGTACTCAGGTCTCTCCTTCTCTCAGACTTGAGTCTGTGCAGCTCAGGAGACGTTGATGGGTTACTAGACCCAGGGGCCGCCTCAGCCTCCCCTGACCAAACCAGTAGTGGAGCAGCTGTAAGTGACGGCCCAGCTGAAGGCAATGAGGTAATCCCCGCATCTGGAGCCAGGGCAGGCTCAGGCCCCTGAATCGGCCCAGCTGGTGTTTGTTGCAGGGGAACCTGTGCAGACTGGGGCTCTTCAGGATCTGGCCCCAGACTTGGTTTGGATGATGCCTGAGGCAAAGGATCTGCTGCAGACTGAGATTCCTCTGGTTTCAAGTCCAAGCCCGAGTCCCAGGCAGTCACAATAATACAGCATGGACTTGGTAGGTGACAGGGCTGCTTAGAGGTCCTCCTCCTTCTCGGAGGCCTCATCCAGTTCTGGGCTTGCCCCAGCTGGCAGTAGGTCTGATAAGCAGAAGTGCTGTTAGATGGATTTCGTGAGCCTTTATGGTTGCTAAGAAACTTATACCTGGAGCTTGGAAAAAGAAACACCTACCGTATATTGCACAATTGGTTTGAGGAGCTCACTGCCTTGCCTACATTCATACCTGCATCATATAGATGTCAAATCTGTGTGGATACTTGCTTGAACATCAAGAGGGCTTATATTATATTAGATGCTTAACTTAAGACACATGTAGTGATGGTTATTGTATCTATAATGTGAGCCAATATTGTGAGGTGTTGTGTTTTTTTTGCTACTATTAGTATTATTTGTCTATTATGTCTTTTTTCTTTATTTTATCTTCTTCTTTAATTCCCCCTTTCATTTGCAAATGGAAAAAAATAATAGAAAAGAAAAGAAGAGGACTTTTAGATGGAAAAGAGAGATAGTAAGTGCTATAGGAGGAGGAGCAAATCATCGAGAAGTGAATGAAATACTTGGATCAGTCTTTCTAGTGGATGCTATCGGAGAGATATCTCCCATCTTTGCAACCTATTTTTTTTTGGGGGGGGGTATGTAAAAAACAATGGGCTTATCCACACCTCTATTTGTCCTGCTGCCTTTCCCAGGGGAAGCCCATTCTTTAGTGCTGAATCAGAACAAATGGCAACTGATTGTTCTGTGGATTGCCATGTGTTCCAATTTAGCACTAAAGAGTGTTTTTTTCTGGAGGGAAGCAGTGGGGAAAGGCAAAATCTATTGGACTCATGTCTAGAAAGTGTGGGACGAGTGGAAAACAGTTCAGACTCGTGCTTTCTAGACACGGGACAAGCATAGATGAGCCCTTTGTACAACAAAGATGACAAAAGATGAAGCTTTCTCTTTCTCTTGCATATTCCAGGACAAGTGTTTATTGATGCTAAAGCAAAATAAATAAATAAAACAAATACACCTTTCAGAGATTGATACAAATGGATTAATTGAAAATTGACAAGATGCTGGGACCAAAGGACATTCACCAGAGAGTTCTTAAAGAACTCAGGTATGAAATTCTTGATATTTATTGTTTTTTTTAAATGTGAAGCTTATCTCCAAACCTGGCCTCCTAACCAGAGTACTGTACACAAAGTACAGTATGTTTTCTGCCCCAGAATATCGGCAGGAAGCATTATTAAGGCTAGAACTGTCAAATGCAAGATAACACAAGAAACAGAAAGCAACTGAGGATGATTACAGGTAGAGAAGGCACATCAAACCATCACCTTTCACATCACATTATTGTCCCACAATTGTCCTTGGGTATGAGGAGACCAGAATCCATATTTCTTTTTATGACTAATAAAGGAGAACCAAACAGCAGAGAAGTTGTCTGTGTTTTGATTCTTGCAGCGTGCCCATCACTGAGATATTAATTTTTCCATTAGCGCTAGACTACATATCTGTTGGTGCCAGTCCAAGAACAGCTCTGCAATCAGAGTCCTCCGACGCTTTGCAACGGTTAATTTTGCCACTGGCATAAGGTTAAGTAATATGTTATTTCAGGAAGGCAATGCCACATGAAATTTGGGGTTTACTGAAAGCCCATAATGGTTTGATGTTTTATTTGTCTATTGAAAGCTCTTTATGGTTTGTTATTTCACTTGTTGCTGCCTGATGCCAGCTTTGCCAGCTGTGGTGCTCTGAACCAAAGTTTTGTGCTGCTGGAAAGCTTGCTTGTTACCCCTGTCAACCCAGCTGGGTCAAGAGAACAAACTGCCGGGCCCCTTTTGCATTTTTTTTAAAGCCATCAATTCACAATTGCACCGGCTTTATGTTTTATCTGCTGTAGCTTTGAGGAAGCACCTTGCATCTCAAAGCTTGCAATCATATTCTACCAATGCAGGGACTTCCTCAAGATTATTTTGAATACAGCAGGTTTTGTCTTAAAAATATATTTTCGGCACAATATATGGGTTTGTTCTTCTGTCTTTTGCAGCTTTGTGCGTAAGTATGCTTAATCACAGCCCAGTTCTGAATGCTGCTTCTTCTTCTTCACCAAGAAGAGTGGGGTATAAATAAAAATTTATTATAATTTATTCTTCTTCTTTGGCGATCACTCATAGCTGAGTAAGATTGTCTTCCATAAACACAGATTTAACAATGAGTCCGTAAGTGACTGTGGAAGCCAATTCTGGATCCACACGTCCTTCCACAGTGGGGACATTGTTTTTTGGGTGGGAGTTGATCACGGTGTGGATTTGCCAAGCGTGCCTTCCAGTGCGGTGTAGTGGTTAAGAGCGGTGGACTTGTAATCTGGTGAACTGGGTTCGCGTCCCCGCTCCTCCACTGCTGCTGGGTGACCTTGGGCCAGTCACACTTCTCTGAAGTTTCTCAGCCTCACTCACCTCATAGAGTGTTTGTTGTGGGGGAGGAAGCGAAAGGAGATTGTTAGCCGCTTTGAGACTCCTTAGGGTAGTGATAAAGCGGGATATCAAATCCAAACTTCTTCTTAGCATGTTTCTCCCTTGCGACCCGAGTTCGAGTGTCAGTTCTGCAGAACCCAGGTTCTGGTTTCTTTGAATAAGGTCGTTGGAGGATTGTGCTTTGTGTTCACAAAATTGTAGAGTCAGAAGGGACCACCTGGATCTCAGTTGGTAGAGCATGAGGCTCTTAATCTCAGGGACGTAGGTTCGAGTTCTACGCTGGGCAAAGATTCCTGAATTGCAGAGGGTTGGACTAGATGGCCCTAGGGTCCCTTCCAACGCTACAATTCTATTATTCTGTGCATAGGAACCAACACTTGGGGGCCGAGGTCCAGGGGCGCCAACTTGAATCAAATATTGGGGGGAGGGGGAACCAGGTAAGCTCAGCCCTGAATAATTGATCACATGACGTGGCGTACACATATCATTTGCCCATCAACGGAGGGGGGAGGACTTTATTGGACTGGGGCAAGAGACCTCGACCCCTAGCAGTTGGATGATGCGCAACGGTTCCTTTGCCACCCCAAAATAAAATATTTGAAGGGGCCAGCCCCCTCCCCAAGTTGATTGACATTGCCATTCAAATGGTGTGGATGGACGCCTGCTTTGATCGATCATGCGGGGAGAGCCTTACCTGAGTCCCCCAATATTTTATTCAAATATCGACGGTATATTTGAATAGAATATTTTGATGGTGTGATTCCCCGCCCCCCCCGCCTGCTCCGTTGCCAAGGCTGCCGGCAGCCGGAGAGAGGCGCAGGAAGGGTTAAGGGAGGGGGCGCGGGGAGGCACCGCCGGCGTCGGGGCGGAGCTGCGCCAAAAGCAGGCGGAGAGTGGGCTGCCCAGATTGCAGAAGCTCCTTCTCGCTTTCCCTCCACGCCGCTCCCCCTCCCGGCCACCCGCCGCCGCCTCCCTCCCCTCCGCTCCTTCGGCTCCTTCGCCAGCGCGGGGAAGCTGCGGCATCCTCCGCCGCAGCGCCCGCTCTTCTTCCTCCTCCCTCCTCCGCGCCTCTTCCTCGCCGACCGCTCCCCGCGCCCCGCAACCCCCGCCATGCCACGGCCCCCATCCGGCCCGGGGCAGCCCCTCCGCCCTCCTCACCCTCCTCCTGCTCCCCCCTCGCAGCCCCTCTGAGACCCCCCCTCCCCATCCTTCCCCCCCATCGCCGCCCCATCGCAAACCCCCACCCCCCACCAAAGCAGGATGGTGCAGAAATCGCGCAACGGAGGCGTGTACCCGAGCGCGTCGGGCGAGAAGAAGCTCAAGGTGGGCTTCGTGGGTCTCGATCCCGGCGCGCCGGACTCCACCCGCGACGGCGCGCTGCTCATCGCCGGCCCCGAGGGCGGCAGCAAGCGCGGCTCCATCCTCAGCAAGCCCCGCTCGGCCGTCTCCGGCAAGCCGCCCAAGAGGAACGCCTTCTACCGCAAGCTCCAGAATTTCCTCTACAACGTGCTCGAGAGGCCCCGAGGCTGGGCGTTCATTTACCACGCTTACGTGTGAGTAAAGGGAGCCGGCGGACGGGCGGGAGGTGGTGGTAGTGGTCTCAACTGGGGTGGGGGGTGGGGGCGGCCTCCTTAAGACCCACCACCGCTCCAGCCGCGTAGGACCACCTCTCCATTCCATCTCCGCTGCCTCCACATCTCTTCTGACAAGCCGAAAGGCGCCCGCACCCCTTTAATCGATAATCCTTTGAAAACCCTCCTTCCAATCCCTTAGCCCCCTCCAGCCACGGGCCCCTCCATCTAGGATTCCTTCCTCCCAGCCAATTCCCCCTTCTCCATCCACCTCCATTTATTCTCCTTGCAGCATTCCCAACCTTTTTCTACAGCAGCATCCCTCCCTCTTCCTCTTCTCCATCCGTCGCTGTGCCATTCCTTCCATCTATCGTTCAGTCCACCTAGGCACCTAGTCGGGAGATCTCCCGTTGTAAATATCTGCCTAGCCACCTACCCCTCTGCCATCCATCCTTGGAGATCGCCTACCATAGCCCTCTCTCTCTCTCTCCCATCCTACCTATTTCTCTTGGCTGTATCTGGACGGAGGGGCTATCTGCAAGCTGTATCTGCAAACTGCAAAGAGATGAATAGGCAAGGCACTGCTACCTATTTCCCATCCCTTCCCGTGCACCGATTTGTGCCAGTTTCCCCTGTTGTTTGCGCGGTAGGGTTACTCACCAGTTTGCTACTCTTAAAAACAACAACACAAAACCAAAAAACCCCTGCCACAACCAGTTAGTTTTGGGCCTCGATTCTGGCGCCAGGCTGCTTTGCTTGCAGAGGTGGGGGTTGGGGAGACACGTGTCCATTAAGCTTTGCTTAGCCATCGATCCATCATTGGGTAAAAACAGAAAAAGGTGAGAGATGTAGCAACAACCGGGGAGGGGGGTGAGGAGGAAGAGACAGAAGGGTAGAAAAAATGACTCACCCTCTCGCTAATCTAAAAACAAAACAAAACAAAGAAAACCCAAACAAACGAGGGAGCCATCCATTGAAAGTGGTAAGCTGTATATCTAAAGAAACAAAACGAAAGGGAATAGTGCTTGGTACAATGCATCAGTTACCTGTGGAACTCATTGCTACTGTATGTTGTGATGGCAGACTGCTTGTAGCGGTAGGCTCAGGGGAGCGCAAGATTGGATTGCAGTTAGTTTTTTGGGTTATTCAGGACCTTGGGTTATTCAGCTCCATCATCTTAAAGGCAAGATCCCAGGATTGGGCATCGCCAACTTTCCTATCTCTCTCTGAAAAAGACACACGTCTAGCTGCCTCTGGCAGGGTGGCTGGCCTGCTCTAGTGGATAAATGTTCATTTCATTTCAGAGCCTGTTTGCTTGTGTCTTCATCTCCCCTCTCCTCCGCTTCCAGCCAAATGACAGCTACCTGCTATCGGTCATGTTACTTTCTTTGCAAACAATTGGAGGAATAATTGCAAGTGGGGGGGGGGATGACTTGCCGTGTACTGTCTCCCCAAGGGCTTCATGCAGTAAATCAAAGTTACTGTTGAGACAGCATTTTGGGATTCTTATGATGATGCTGCCCAGCTTCTGCCAGGCTCTATTATCATCTTCGCCACTAGCCCCAATGTACAGATGGGGAAACTGTTTCTCTTCTGATGGGGAGCTTGTATACAACCGGTTGGGCCTAGGCAGCTGCAGGGATGGAACCCCAGTCCCATTTTTGCCCAAGATTATGCCTGCTGGAACACAGTGTCTTTTTCTTCCCAATTTTAGTGTGGAGCAAATGCTCCATCCTTTTGTCCCATGTGCAAAGGAGCAAGGACTTGTATGTTGAATGTCTGTATGTACAGCAGATGCGATTCCCTTTTGGCTCAAATCTGTGGAGCAGAATTACTCACTGCTTTGCTCCTGCCTTGGCGTAGTCTCACCGTAGCACTATCTCGGGCTGAATGGTACACAGACCCAACTATATCTCACCCCTCCATGGCTTTCTCTCTCATCATCCCCTTCATTTCTCCTACTCCCCTGCCTGCTTTTAGAATAGAAGCGCCTCTGTAGATCCAACTCCTCTATCTGATGCTCGAAGTGCAAGGCTGCACAGCTAAGACATCTTGGTGGCCTGCTTCCCCTCCTTGCACTGTTGACGTTGGAGATACTGGAGAGATGGCTCTAGAAAGGGATGCAAATTGGAGCTGGGAGCTTTCTCATCAGGAGCAGAGAGGGGAAATTCAGGGACAAAAGGCAGATGTTGACACACCAGTCCTTCAAGGGATGGCTGCATGGATATAATTGCTCAGCTGCAAGAAGCATGTGTGTGCTTCTTTTTTTAAAAAACCCCACCAAATTATAGAAAAGACAGGCAGGGGATACAAATGAAAATGCGATGATTAATCAAGCATAGGTTGCTTTTGCGATGCACTTAGTAAAATTGCCACTCATTTACGTGCAGCACAGCCGTTCCGTTCTAGCTATATTGACAGGTATAAGTAAGATTTGTACTTTATCGGGTATGAATCAACATCAATGGGTGTCTTGTATGGGGACAGGTGAAAATGGCTAACAGTTCAGTCCTATGCACGGTTACACAGAAACGAGCCTCTTTATGTTCATTGGACTTAAAGGCAACATGCATAGCACTGCAATCTGAAGGCTTGCTGAAATGGAAAGGGTTTTTTTATGGATTTTGGCCAGAGCTGCTTTCATTTATCATTCCCACGGACCCATGGAACTCTTTTCTGGCTTGTTCTTAAAACCTGGAGATAATATGAGATGTGTTCTGTCGGTGTGGGGTCACTTGGGGGGGGGGAATCTTTTTATTTAAATGGCATTGAAAATCTGCTGAAATGGAATTACTCACAAAGGCTTTGAGCATTCCCCCCCCCCGCTCCGAAATATCGCTGATCTTGGGGAGGGTGGGGAGAGTTGTAGGTACTATTTATGAATTTTTAGGTGGTGCTTTTGCTTTCAACGGTTGGTGGGGGAAAAGTCTTGGTGGCAGTGGAGAAATTCAGAACAAGAGTATGTTCTATATGCATTTATGTTCAAAACTTGCATATATTCAAGTTTTGAACTATGAAAAAAAGAGGGGGCATTGTATATACATTTTCAGGGCCCTTGTGATTTTCTGCCACCTAAGAACCAGAAAAGCAAGAATGAAGAACCTGTGGTTCTTCCAGATCAGGAGTGGGGGACCTTTGACTCTCCGGGTGTTGCTAAACAACAAGGTAAGGTAGTCTCTATGGGAGTATATTGTATTAAATTATGGGGTATCAGAGTTTTTAGGGGGCTAACCAGGCTGGGATAGCAGGCTTGTTGGTTTTTGAATGTCTGATGTAGATTTTTTCAATTTCGTTGTTCTGTATGGGACAATGACAATGAAGATTACTGTATCATCGTATCATATCGTATCGTAACCCCCATCACTCCTGCCCATTGGACATGCTTGCAGGGGCTGATGGGAGTTGTAGTTCAGCAACATCGGGAGGGTCATAGGTTCCCCACTCTTGAGGTAACTGGAATATTCATGTTTCTGAGAAAGGGCTTTAGAAGGGCTGTGAGTCCAGACTCAGGTTAGGGCCCAAACTGGGAAAAGGGCCCTTTCAGGACATTTATTTATTAAATTTGTATACTGCCCTTCATCCAAAGATCCTGGTTTTCTCCTGCTCCGGAGGCCAATGGCTTCAAGTTACACGAAAGGAGATTCTGACTAAACATCAGGAAAAACTTTCTGATGGTAAGAGCTGTTTGACAGTCGAACGGTCTCCCTCAGGAGGTTGTGGACTCTCCTTCCTTGGAGAATTTTAAGCAGAGGTTGGATGGACATCTGTCATGGATGCTTTAGCTGAAATTCCTGCATTGCAGGGAGTTGATGACCCTTCCAACTCTACAATTCTGTGGTTCTAGTTCCCCAACCTGCCGTCCAAAGTGGGACAGTCCTGGAAAGAATATTCCACGTGGTTACTTCATTTTTGCACACTTGCCTTTGTTGTCACATTTGGGCTTTGGGGAGTCGCTGCGGGAAGAAGGTCACAATGCTGAGAGGCCCAGCCACCATCAAACAAACTTCTCTGCAGTCCTAACTTGGGGCATAAATAGTGAATGGAGCAGGGACACCACCCTGAAACTTAAGGGCTGTAATGGTGGAACGTTAGGCGTGGAGATGGCTTCTCAGGTCTGTTGCACCTGGGCCGTGGTAGGTCGTCACTAGGATCTTGAACCAGTGGCGAAAGGGGGCAGATCACAGTATCTGGTTCAGGGATCCCTAAACTTTGTGGGTCATGGGAGCTCATTTCATCTGGTGGCACATTGCCTTATTAAATTGAACTTAGACACCAATAAGAGTTGTGGTGAAACCAATGAACATGTCCATGGAGGCTCAGGTTAATTCTGTTTCCGGGGTGGTTGTCTACCAGCTCCATCTGGTACACCAGCTGAAACCCTACCTGCCCACGGACTGCCTTGCCAGGGTGGTGCATGCTCTGGTTATCTCCCACTTGGACTACTGCAATGCACTCTACCTTTGGGGCTACCTTTGAAGGTGACTCGGAAACTACAGCTAATACAGAATGCGGCAGCTGGGAGCAGCCGCCAGGACCATATAACCCCGGTCCAAAAGGATCTGCACTGGCTCCTGGTATGTTTCCGAGCACAATTCAAAGTGTTGGTGCTGACCTTTAAAGCCCTTAATGGCTTTGGCCTTGTATACCTGAAGGAGCGTCTCCACCCCCATCGCTCAGCCCGGATGCTGAGGTCCACCTCCGAGGGCCTTCTGGTGGTTCCCTCACTGCGAGAAGTGAGGTTACAGGGAACAAGGCAGAGGGCCTTCCCAGCAGGGGCATCCTCCCTATGGAACGCTCTCCCATCAGATGTCAAACAGATAAAACTATTGTATTGGTTGATGTTTTACTGTGTTTTTAATATTTTGTTGGGAGCCGCCCAGACTGGGGCAACCCAGTCAGGTGGGTGGCGTATAAACAATAAAATAATAATAATAATAATAATAATAATGGAACATCAATAGCCTTAGAGCAGTGGTTCCCAACATTTTTTTTACCCATGCCCCACCTAAGTACAGTGGTACCTCGGTTTAAGAACTTAATTCATTCTGGAGGTCTGTTCTTAACCTGAAACTGTTCTTAACCTGAAGCACCACTTTAGCTAATGTGGCCTCCCGCTGCCACCGCGCCACCGGAGCACAATTTTTGTTCTCATCCTGAAGCAAAG